CACCACTGCTGAGTGGGTAAGTGGCAACCCAGCTGGTGTCGGCATACGTGTCTGAGGATTTGAACTTCTGCGAGCCTCTCAAGGCATTATCGTGCCACGCTTTTGTTCCAGCCGAAAAATACAATTCTGGCATATGCTGGCAACAAAATCCTAGTGTAAACGTGGATGAAGGGCGGTTGTTCGACATCAGCAAGGTCAGCAGGCTTGGCAGCTGATCGTGCCTTCTCTGCCTTCACTGCCACCTGCACTGCCAAATCGCGCTGGCAGCGGCCCTAGTCGACCATCCAGTCTCGAGCGGCCAAACTTCCTCTGCATGCTTAACAGGAAGAACGGCGTTTTGGGATTGATAGACAACAACCTCAGTGCTTTGGTTCTGTTGAAGCTAAAATTTTAACGACACCAAAAGTTCGAAAGTTTTGAGTCTGCAAGTGCTGCTGTCAACAGGTGTGTGTCAGGTAAATGGTTGGGTGTTTCGCAAGCAGTCGTATATGAGATATTACTAAACTGATGGCCCCCAGATGTCAGCTCCAGCTGGCAAGCGCAGGAAAAGCTAACTCTGTGATCGTGGTTTGCTCAGCTGCCTCAGAAAACTGAATGCGATGCATTCTGATGGCATTTGGGTTTCAACTGACATGCTCTCAAGAGCAACTGTTGAGCAGCCACACCGGCCGAATAACGTGACGTGAAGGACGATAGTAGCCAATCCTGGAGGAATGCTGGCTGTCGTTGCAGCATACTTAGATTGTCGTCCGGTTTTGTGAGGAAAACCCTTTCAAGGGGCTACACAGGCTAGAAAAAAAAATTCCCATAGACAAATCTGCTATAAATTCTTTGTAGTCCAGTCCCTTTGTAAATACTACCCAATTGTTCAGCACTTGGTTTGCTCTGTCATTAGACATACAAAAGTATTGCAAGAAGGAATGCAATCATGTGTCCATGATCGTGGCAGCAACAAAACATGTCATGAAATGTCTATATACTGGTCTGATGACTACACCATGTTATGTTGGCTCACCTCTGTTCGTCCTGGCTCCAGCAATCAACTCTTCAGCATGGAGCCAAACCCAAAATCTGAACGGAAACAATCCTTTTTTGTGGCGATTTATTCTTTTTCCAGCCCGCGGTCCTTGTATCCAACCAAAATAGGTCTTCTCAAGGACGCACGCCTATTGACTTCAACGTCCACCACCTTGGATGTCCGGGTCACATGGCACGCACTTACCTTTAAGCCTGCTGGTCTGCAAAGGATGAAACGCACAAGACGAAAAGTGTGCACTCAACAGCCGTTTTTGAGTTCGAAAAGGCGATTCAGGGCGAGAAGGTTATGAACCCAACAGCTCGCAAGGTGTAAGAAGATAATAAGATAGCAATCCTAATTTATAAGAAGATGGTAATGAAAAATATAAATGAATGTCTTTGTCGTTATGAGGTTATCGTTCCCAAATGAAGAGGTAATCATTAATAATAAAGAATTATATGGAATAATGAAATGAAGAACTTTGCAAACATAAATTAATATCAGGTATTTTGATGAAGATCCTATATTAATAAATAATGAAAGAAATAATATTAGTAAACCTATATGAACTTAACTTACGAATGAATATGAAAGACAAAGATATGAAAGATACCATGAACTATAAAGATAAAGATAGGAGGAAAAGATATATTTAATTGATGATAACCTGCCAAGATATGGACATGAATATTGTATAAATTAAAAAATAAGAGCTGATCCGCAGGCCGCCCCGATGGCCTTGCAGCGGCGCTGGCGGGAGCACCCAGGAAGATGGAGGTCTTGGGGATGATGCCGAGCGTTCGCAGCTGGCACTGGAAGATCGAGAAGAAGAAGAAGAAGACGAAGATGATGATGATGATGATGATGATGATGATGATGAAACAGAGAACCTCCATGGACCTAGGGAAGCCGCCAGCTACCCTGTTTTTAGTGGTTCCTCTGCTCCACTTCTGAGGCAACTACAAGAACAAGCCACACCTCTATGGGACTCAAAGAGCACCTGGAGGCAAGGAGTGAGCGCGGAGGAGCAACCAGGGGCGACGAGACCTGGGTCTCGGGCTCCAATTGAGCAGGAGGCCGGCAACGTGGACCTGGGATGGGCCCTGAGAATCAAGTCACGATAATGCAGATGATCGGTACGCACTTCGAGCTGAAAAAGTGGAGCTGACGCAAGAGATGAAGCCCAGCAACCCAGCTTGGAGGCGGGGTGTGCCATCTACAGAGGAAGCGTCAGCTGGATCTCGCTCAAGGTGAAGGGACTATGGGGGTAAACGTGGAGAGACGAAGTCTCTATGAACTGCCCCCGACGCAGCAATTCGAACAGTGCAGGGGTACCATCATCCGAGGGTGAAAAGGGTGGCGCAGCGCACCCGAAGCCCATGAAGGGAGCGACGACTTCAGCCTCCAGTGAACAAGACAAGATGATTGAGGTGATGGCCAAGCTCGGTCGACAAGGGCAAGAAGGAGCTCTTCCTGCACCCAGCGACACGTCTCCCATCGACCTGGCAGATTGGATTGCGATGATCGAGCCCGCGATGATGGACTTGACCGAATCCTCAGGCGAATAGCGGGAGCTGGTGATCAATGAGGCCAAGAAATGGTATACACCCACTATGCCCACTGAGGCCCTTGCAGCACCATTGAACCTTCCAGCGAGCTCAAGACGACCAAGTGGACGAGGGTATCGTTGGTCAAGGAG